GAATGTTTATGAGATGAGAGGTGATGCAGAGGACCAGGTCTCCAGGCTTTCAGTGATGGCTGAAGAATGTAAATCAGGAAAGCATCCCCTGAAAACTTAAACATTAAACCCCTCTTCTGATTCCCTGCTGGGCTGTACTAGCTGCAAAACAGCATCTTCTCCTCAAACCCTTGATGCTTCACATCTTTGTATTTTAGAAGACTAAGAAGTTTTAAATCTAACTCAGGATGCTGTGTTTCTGCAATAGGTCTCCTTGGAGATGCACAAATTGCTCCAGACAACCCGTTGGCTCTGAAAGTCAGAAGGGAATAAGGAAATTTTTCTCTTTCTGCTAATGGTCAGCAGGGCCTCCCAGGAGTGTCTCGCCACGGAAAGGAGATGTGGTGTCCCCTAGGAAAGGCTCAAGGGCTCTTCTGGAGCATTGGGCCAGCACCAGGTCAGACACTTCATGGAATCCCAAAATGGTTTGTGTTGGAAGGGACCTTCAGTCCAACCTCCTGCCATGGGCAGGGACACCTTCCACTAGCGCAAGTTGCTCCATGTCTTGTCCAACCTGGCCTTGAACACTTCCAGGGGTGGGGCAGCTGCAGCTTCTCTGGGCAGCCTGTGCCAGTGTCCCATCAGCAACGCTGTGCTGGAGGGAGGTGCCCACCTCCCTTGTGTCTGTTCCCTGACCTTACAGAGCAGCTCCCTTCCCAAATTTCACAACTTGGCACATGGTGTGTGAGGGCATCACTGACTGTATTTTGTGAACTCTAGGTGTATTGAGAATGGTTCTATCCATCCTCACCCTTCTTCCTCTATGCAGAGGGGAGATGAGTTGCTGCCTCTACAGATTGCTCAGCCCCAGATTTAGCATGGAAACTTTTTTGGAGTCTTTTAAATGGATGCCCATATCAAAGTGAGAGCAAAGCATGCTTTCAGGAGTGCTCTGGCACAAAGGGGAGTTAGAGGTAGATATCTTTATCCTGTGTTTCTTTTATCCTTCTGCTACCATGCAGTGGAACTGGGAATGACTCCCAAAAAGGGTAGTTAAAAAGCAAACCTTACCTGAAATGACTGTGCTCTTTGTTCTGCAATTCACAAAGAAAATGTTTGCAGCCTCTCTGTCTCGAGCCTGCACACACAAAAGATGCCAATTTTTATTTTTTTTTTTATTTCTCGTGGTTTGAACATTTTCTGTTTCTTAGCCATCTGAAGTGATCTTCCTGTATGCAAACCCTGCAGAGCTTTACCGTGGATCTGTGCAGCAATTTTGCTGTTTTTAAAGAAGAAAGGTTGGTTTGACTTCTGAATCCAACAGGATGAGAAGAAATTTGGGATTTGAGTGAATGAATTTAGCTGTCTCAGCAGCCCTGGCACGAGTTGCCCAGAGAAGCTGTGGCTGCCCCATCCTTGGAAGTGTCCAAGGCCAGGTTGGATAGGGCTTGGAGCAATCTGGGATAGTGGAAGGTGTCCCTGCCCATGGCAGGGAGGGACTGGATGAGCTTTAAGTTCCTTCCAACCCAAACCAGTCTGGGATTCTGTGTTTGCCTGTGCCCTCTTGTTCCTGCTTTCAGTTGACTATGAATGGAAGGGCAGCAATTCCTCATTTGTTTTCCCTTCCTAAACAAGAGTTTGAAGCATTGGTATCAATAACTCTATATTCATATAAAACCAGCTTGTGAATATTGAAGAAGAAATCAGAAAACAAATTTAATGGAATAAAATGGAAAGGAAACTGATATTGTACAGAGGGAATTTTACAGGGGGAATGATACTCCATCCTTTTCTCCACCCAATTTTCCATGGGTCGTGTCCTGCCAGACAGATTGGGAAGTCTCCCAGGGAGCCAGGTGTTCCAAGGCAGTTCCCACTCTCCAGAGAACCTGAAAAAGGGCTCCAGGGAAGGCTGAAGTCAGGTGTCACACAGGTTTTCCTGCAGTGATTTTTATTGCACTGAAGCTACTCTTCATTTGCCTCCTATTTCTTTGATACCTTTAATGGGGTTGAAACAGGCTCATGGAAATCAATGGAATTCAGCAAAAATCAAATCAGAGATCGGGTATTTCACACGACAGGAATAGAAACGAGGTCATTTCATGTCAGGATTTTCAATTTGATGTGTTTCCCTTGGGTATTCTGCTCACTGGAGGGTTGACTTGTGCTCCGAGGAGCAGTGGAAGCTGCTCCCCCATCCACCACACACACGTCCAGCAGCTGTGAAATCCCGTGGGATCCACACTGGTTTAGGCATCGGGGGGTTAATCCCTCTATCCAGCCACAATTTCCAAAACCGGGGAATTTGTCAAAGCTTGAAGCGAGCTGTGTGGGAGAATAAAAAGCATCTGGCTGGAATTAAAGACACAGGACGATCAATTCTCCTGCTCCAGGAGCTGATCTCGAGCAGACTCGGAGGCTCGTTTCCCTTTGTCATGTGGTGTTGCACATTTAGGGGCACAGTGGGTTTATTTGATGCGTTTCTGAAGTAGCTGCTCTTCACCACTGCTGGAAACAAATGAGTGAAGCAGCAGATAAGGATTAACCCGAGGGACAGACTATTGGTCTGTGCTGGTGTGAGGAAACAGAACAATCACCTCGCAGGCTCATTTGTTTGGCCGGGGTTTGACAGCTCTGCTGGAGGAGGAATGAGAGCTCCTGGGACAGGGTCCTGATTGCTGCCCTGCCGGGAGGGAGGGAGGGAGGGAAAGGGGGGATTGGTCCCTCAAATGAACGATCTCTCTGTGCTCACGTTTGCTTTCTCACCCAGCACGAGATCCCTGTGATGGGGGAGGAGATTCCCTGTCCTTGCTCCTTCCCTGGGACTCTGAGCTCGGATCACGCATGGAAACAGGGAGGAATTTATTCATTAGGGATTTGCTAAGTGTGTAGCTGTGCCAGGATTCTGGTCAGTGCTATCACCTACAGGCAGCTTCAAATGTTCATGGCTCCAGATACACCTGCACACAGAGTGTTCTATAAAATGCCTTTGGAATGTGGCCCGGGATCTACTCTGTTCGTGTTCACCAACCAAATCAAATGGATCCCTATGGATGGCTGCTGATTTATGGCACCTGTACTTTGAAATAGTCAGTGCATTAACAACAGAAAGTTTGGTCATTACCTGATATTGTGTCACAAAGACAACCCTGTCATGAAGAACAGTGGCTAAGAATGTCCTCAAGAAAAAAATCTGTAATTTAGATATAAATGAAAGGCATGTCTTGTTTGAGTGCTTAGACCCATTTTTCAGAAATGAAGATGATGGGTCTGAACCTTTTATTTCAGGGCTGAATGGGCTTTTTGTCTTTCTAAAGTGCTCTTTGCAGTATCCGAGGGCTAAGGTGTGCACCAGGGGTGAGACTGAACTGTCTCAGGTGCCTTTTTCCCCTATTGCATTTAAACCCAACTACTTGAGGACCTCTGCATTTCAGAGGAAACAAACATTTTTGTTTGTTGGTTTTTGTTGTTGATATAGTCATTGTATTTCTGTTTCTCTTGCTCGGTTACTATTCCCAGGATGTGGTTGAGTTTTACAAACACACTAAACATTTACATTTTACAAACATTTTACAAACACACTAAAACATTCGGCAGTGATCCTCTGTCCATCTGACCCTGTCACTTTGTACCTTACTCAGATCAGTATTTCAGTGTCTCTCTGAGGGTAATTATGAGCAATGTATTTCCCTGATTCAGTGTTCAGCCACAGATCGTCATAATTTGGTTTCAAACCTTCTTGAGTATTACCTTTACTCAGGTTGTTCTCTGCCAAAGGAGATCCAGTTCCTCTGCAATGATTTTAAACCGTGAAGCTGAAACACTTGGTGTGATCTCAGGCTTGTTTCACTGGTATTCATTCCTTTAATTTTTGCAGGAGCTCCTGGAAGCTGGGATGCTGTCAACAGCTCGCAGGGGTTTGTTCAGCTGCTTTATTTCCCAGTGTGGAGGAGAAGGCAGGAGAAACAAGCCCACAGGTTGTAAAGAACACATTGCTTGTCCTGCTGGGGTGGCTCAGCCCAGGATCACCTGAGCTGGGTTGGAGAAGGGATCTGCTCTCTGGTGGTAGCAGTGGTATCAGGCTTCTTTATGCCTGAAAATCCTTAGAATTCTATGCTATTTTGGTTAGAAGGCATCTTAAAGATCATCCAGTTCCACCCCCTGCCATGGGCAGGGACACCCTCCATTAGACCAGGTTCTCCAAGCCCCATCCAACCTGGCCTTGGACACTTCCAAGGATGGGGCAGCCACAGCTTCTGTGGGCAACTCGTGCCAGGGCCTCACCACCCTCACAGGGAAGAATTCCTTCCCAATATCTAAAACAATTCTCCCTTTTTTTAGTTTAAATTCAGGTTATTTCCACTGCAGACAGAAGGGTTGTGTTCGAGGGGGCAGCTGTGGGATACCTGAGCCTCCTGCTGCTGCTGCTGCTGTGGCACATTCACGGTCTGAGAAAGGTAGAGAGACTGGGGGGGGGCAGGTCGGGGGTTTGGGGCTGCTTGGGAGGGGCCGAGGAGGCTGGGGAGATTTGGGGGTTCGAGGGTGTTGGGGGATTGGGGAAGGCTGGGGGTTCGGTGAGGTTTTGGGGAGGTCGGGGGGATTGGGGAAGTTGGGAAGATTTTGGGGGTGGTGGGGGGGCTCCGGGAGGTTGGGAGTGTTGGGGTGTAGGGGGTGCTGTCGGAGGGGCCGTGCCCAGCCCAGCTGTCTCTCCCACCCCCACGCATCCCCCCTCCGCCTCTCCCCCCGATCCCCCGCGCGCGGGGGCTGCCCCCCGGGCGCTAGGGAAGTGGCCGAAAAGCCCATTTTATTCCCCCACGGCACACGGCAGCGTCCGCGCTCCCGGCGGGGGCTGTGCCGGGGGCCGGTCCCGGCGCCCCCTCCCTCTCTCCCTTCCCCGGGGCGGCCCCGGCGCCCCCGCCCCGCTCCGCGCCCCCCCCGCGCCGGGCGGAGCCTGCCCGCGGCTCCCGCCGCTCGGAGTTCACTCGGCGGCGGTGCCGGAGCGGAGCCGGTGCCGGAGCCGAGCGGAGCCGCTCCCGCTCACCCCGTGCCATGCGGGATGCTCCCGGCCGCCGCCGCCCCCCGCCCGCCGCCTCTGCTGTGGCCGCCGCCCGCGGAGCCCCCCGCGCCCCCCTGGGCTTGGGTGCTGCCCGCGGCCGCGGGGCTGCTCCGGGTGGGCGCTGCCAACGCCGGGGGTCCCCCCCCGCCCCCGCCGCTGCTGCTGCCGCCCCCCGCCCCCGCCGTGCTGCGGGGCTGGCGCGGCCCCGCAGAGCCGCTGCTGCCGCTGCTGCCCGCGACCACCGAGCCGCTGCTCCAGGGGCAGGTAAGGGCGGAGCGGCCCCGCGACCCCCGGGAGGCACAGCCGTCCCGGGGCCGTGTCCGTGCCTGGCGCCAGCCCCGCCAACGGGACCCCCCCCCCCCCCCGCCCGCCGAGGGGACGCGGCTGGAGGGACCCCGCGGGACGGCGGGGACACCTCGGGCTCGGCATCGCCCTTCCCCGGGCTCGGTATCATCTTTCCCCGGGCGGTGCCCCCCTGGGCTCTACAATCCCCCTCCCCGGGCTCTGCACCCCCGGGCTCGGTCTCCGGTCGCGCCTCCAAGTGTGGGGGATCGCGACGCTTCCAGCGGCTCTAAAAACCTGCGGCAGGGTTTTCCCCGGGAGGAGGAGGGCTGGGAGAGGGGCTGGGGTCCCTTCGGCAGGGCTGGGGGTCCCTTCGGCGGGTCTGGGCTCCGGCTCCGCTCCCCGCCGGCTGGGGATGCGCTTCCCGCAGATCCAGCGGGAACGCGAGGGATGCTCCGGCAGCCGGGGCAGCATTACCGCTCTGCGTTCTTTGAATATTTATAAAGACGAAAGTTTTGAGCCGTGTCACTGGAACCGGTGTGTCGCGCCAGTGCTTCCCCTGATGAATATTTGAATTATTAATTGCTGCCGTGAGCAGCAACAGCAATAGCGGAGCCTCTCGGCCGGGTGCTCTCCCTGTCACAGTGCAGGTGCCGGAGCTGTGCTGTAGTTTTGCATCGTCTTTATGTTTTTTACCATACGGAGGTAAAAATAAACCCGGGATGTGAGCGCTGTAGTGTCCGCGCGATTTCGTGTGATGATTTCCAGCCGTTTCGAGCTCGAGCGTCTCTTGTGGTTCGGGAGAAAATAGTCGGTGCTGGGTCTAACGAAACGGGAACATCAATTATTCCCCAGCGTGAGACCACTTGACTCCGCAGAGGTGGTTTTGCTGTGGGAACCCGCTTGCCAAAAGAATTTAAGTTGAGAAAAAATACGTTTCTGCCATTTCCTTTGGTTCTCCAGACTCATTTTCAAAGCACTTTCTAGTGATGTTTGGTTTTGTGTGTGAGGTTCGGTCTGATCAGAGCAAACCCACTGCAGCCATTACCAGTGCTGCTGTGCTCCAGGCTACTGGTTTGTGGCTTCCTAAAGCAGTTTATGATGCCAGTGCCATGTGCTGCTCACCGTGTGATGCCCAAAGAACCACAGATTCTTGTTGGACTGGAGGAATGTGCTTGAAAATCTCAGTGCTCTTCTGTAAAATAATTAGGAAGTCATGAAAAGCAGCAGTTTACTTGGGATAAAATTCTCTTGTTAACTCTTCTTCCTGTTTTTTTTCCTCCTCCAAAGTGGATATTTGGAGCTCATTCTCCAGTCATAGGATTTTCACCTTCTTCGAGCGTGGAATTTGTCCCTGTTTTCCCCCCTGTGTTCACGGCTTCGGTTCCGCCTCACACTGGGAAAAGCTGGATCGATAAAAGGCTGCCCAACTGCAAAGTAAGTCTGATCTTGGATGTTGAAGTGGTTTTAAGGCTGAAGTACATAAAGTATGGAAGCTGAGGAATGTTATGGGTTTAGTGGATTGTGATGGAGTCTGGGAGGTCAGTGGTTTGTCAGGAAAACCCTGGGGAGGAGGAATGTTGGGAGGGAGGGTTGACAGAGCAACACTTATGCAGCTTTGCTTTTCTGAAGCCTTAAAAAACCTGGAACATCTCCAATATTAGTCTTTACTCCATTGAATAGAGCGTCTTATTTTTAAAATGGGATGTGATTATGGGAGTTTTCCCTTTCTTCCTGGTTTTTCCCCTATTTACCCCAGAGTGATGCCGAGGTCCAGCTCTGGCAGCAGTGGTGTCACTTATGAGTGCTGCCATGTCCCTAGTACCTGGTCACTCGTGGTCCTGTGTCCTCATCCCACCCTCAGTTACCTTCACCTGACCATTTACCATCCAAATGCTGAAAATGCAGCTCTGTGCCTTCATCCCATCCCCTCCCTCACCTCACGTCCCCGGTTCGGAAGGTGGCTGCATCCCCTGAGGTGCCGATGGGTCTCTCTGGAGTGGCTGTGGCTGTGTCTGGGACACCGTTTCCTTCAGTGATTCTTTTCTCTTTGTGATGCTGCATCAGCTGATGATTCATTTTAAAAGCCAATTAATTTTTTAATGGTCACTTAAGCTCAGGCTCAACACTGAGGGAGCAGAAATCCATCTAGTTTGGCAGATTTGTCCCCAGGTGAGATACTACCTGTCATAATACTGAGTTAAAGACACTTTAGTCTCACTTTTATTACTGAATTTTTTATCTCAAGCAGTAACATTTTTCATTTCTCCCTGTTGGACAGATATACTTGAACAATGCATTTGCTCTGGATTCAACCTGGATACATCCTGAGGAGTCCAGGCTGTTCCAGGGAGCTGAGAAACCTCTGCTGATGACCAACCAAGTAGCTCTGGCTGTAGCCAGGCCAGCTGCTGCCTCCAGGCCACTGCCCACGCTGGTGTTGGCACCTCAGCTGGTACCAGGTCAGTAGCATGTAAATAATTAAGCACTTGCCTGTTAATTGGTGTTTTTCCCTTAATGCATCTCCCAGAGAAACACAAGCCATTCTCTAGAGCAAAGGTTTCCTTCCATTCAACTAAAAATCTCCTGTTTGAGCTGAACTTTGATGGCAAAGTGCATTTCATCCTCTAGAATTACTCTGAAAGAAGGAACAGACTATGTGTAATTACAGGAGATTGTAACAAGTCGTTCCATAGCCTGTCATTGACCTCTGGAATGAAGGGACCAGCCACTCCCCAACTGCACAGTTTATTTTTCAAACAAGAAATTGCTGACAACCTGAATGATTCCATGATTCTATGGCACAGCCCATGCACAGTTCTGTTGGCTGCTCATTGTAAGAGTTCGGTGTGGTCTCTGTAGACCACTGGCAGTAGAGGGGAGGAATTGATCAATCAGCTCATTAAGGCTCAGTTATGCACAGGGATAGTGTGAAATAAATTCCATTGATCTGCATAAATCATTAATAGGACTAAGAGTTATATACTTATAAATATATTTATACTATTATGTATATTTTCTGTATAAATATTCACGGATTCTGTGGGTTAATAAGATTTATACTTGGAAAAAAACAGTTATACTTGGAAAAGAGCAGGACATGCATTTCTGTAGAGCTGAATCTCTATTTTGTCACTGCAGTAGTAACATAGCAGTTGTTTCAGAGAAGAGGTTGAGAAGTAAAATGCTACTGATGTTTCAACCTCTAAATGTATTCTTAAATTGAGAATTAGAATTAATGGCTCGCTGTCGATTGTTCCTTCCTCCTCTTTCCGTGGTCTCTGCCCCATAAAGTCCTTTTTATTTTGCAGCTGAGCAGCACATGGGATGTTATATTTTGCCATCACTGTTGAGAGTCAGAGTGTGCTGGAAGAGATTGTTGCTGTTTGGGCTCATTTGCCAACCTGATTAATTAGCAGTGAATATTGTTCAGCACTGAGACATGTTGAACCACTCGAATGGGTCCATATTTTGGTGTTTTAGCAAAGCCATATTTGTCAGCTGCCTTCTCCTGCCAGGATCTCCAGTGCTCAGCTGGAGGAGTGAAGCTGCTGTGGGGAAACCCTGTTTTTTATTTATTTATATTTATTATATTATTTATTTGTATTTATTATCCATAAAACCAGCTGCATCCCCCGAGCATGACATGGGGAAGCATCAAGCTGTGCTCCCAGGCAGGAGAAAGTGGGGTTTAAGGAAAAGTGTGATGGTGAGGGAGATGTTCTGGGCAGGGGAACGACAGCCCCTCCTTTGTTTATGTATGTTTAAAAGATTTCATTATTTCAAAATATTACACAACAATGTTATTTAAACATGCACAAACATTTTATCACACAGATAACACAAGAGTGTACCTGGCAGTGGGTCAGGGGCATGTGCTGGGCAGAACCAGGACATTCCCAGCCTGGTGCCGTGTCTGAGGTCTGGAAGTAGCATGGAGAAGGGAAGGTTTTCTTCTGCCTGGATAATATATGCAAACACCAGGCTGTTTGTACAGGGTATCCTCAGGTGGATCCAGCTCTTCCTGCGGCAGTGTGCGCAGCACTGTCTGCCTCTTCAGAACTCCCTGAGCTCCACTGGGAGGGAGAAGTGCAGGGAGGAGTACAAAGACCCCCAACCACCTTTCTAAATCATAGAATCCTGGAAGGGTTTGGGTTTGAAGTGACCTTAAAGCCCAGCCAGTCCCAGCCTCTGCCCTGGGCAGGGACACCTTCCACTAGCCCAGGTCGCTCCAAGCCCCATCCAACCTGGCCTTGGACACTTGCAGGGATGGGGCAGCCACAGCTTCTCTGGGCAACCTGTGCCAGGACCTCCCTACCCTCTGAGTCAAGAATTCCTTCCCATCTTTCTGAAAATCTCATTTCTCGTTGCTGTGGTTGTGCCAATCCAGTAACATCCCAGGCTGTGTGGCCTCAGAGCTCGTGCAGGACACGTGCGAGGCGGGGCCATCCCTGCAGGACGGCACCGCCTGAGTCCTCCAGCCACAACCAGAACCTGCCTCTCCAAGGGTTATGGTGGCACTTGAAGTATTTGCTGTGTAGTCTTTACACTTAACGTGGAGATTAATAAAAACCCTGTGAGCAAATGGCTTTGTTAAGTGGTACAAACGGAGCAGTTAATAAGGGTTCTGCCGGCTCTGCGTTGGATTCATTTCGGGAGCCGCTCGTACGGCGGGTCTGCCTTGCACAGTTATCAGTAATGATATAATTGTTTCCTCAATGGATCTGCAGTTCCAGAGATAAAGGAATGAGCACTGAGTCTGCGGAGGGTAATATGCATAATTTACCAGCTGCAGCTCCAGCTACTACAAGGTGTTATTTTCTGTAAGGAAAGGAAGCTCTATTATTATCTCACAAAGTGCAAACCATGAATTTATGTACTTATTGGTTTGTGTATCTGAGGAGAATTGTGGACTTTGCCCACCTCGGAATGAGGGCTTGTTTTGTGTCTGCTGGATTTGGCAGGTTTGGGTGGAAGGCAGCGGCTGGATGTTTTTCAGAGAAAGGATTGATGTTTTTTCAAAGAAAGGATAGATACTTCTCAAAGAAAGGATTGATATTTTTGCAAAGGAGGGATTAATATTTTTATCTCCTGCATTGTGCTCTCAGCCATGTGGGTGAGGTCAGGGCTGGTTTGGTCCTGAGTCAGATGTGCCCCGGTGACACCTGCACATCCCTGTGAGGTCAGTGACTGCTGAATTAGGGGTGAAGAAGCATTGGCAGGACCCCTTGGTGGCACCTATTAGATAAAAGCTGTCACCTTCTGGTACGTGATATTCTGTGCTTTTACTGTTGTTAATGTTGGTTTAAGTGCTTGAAGGGGTGTTCTTGTAGTTTGACATTCCTGGCTCTCAAGAGCTTCACCAGCAGTGATTACTTCCAAAGGGTGTGTTCCTGTTGGTGTGTTTGGGAAGGTTTTCACAGAATCATGGAATAGTTTGGCTTGGAAGGGACATTAAAGTTCATCTTGTTCAACCTTCTGCCACGGGCAGAGACACCTTCCACTAGACCAGATTGCTCCAACCTGGTCTTGAACACTTCCAGGGATGTGGCATCCACCAACAGCCCCACGTCCTTCTTCCCAGGGCTGTTCTCCAGCCATTCTCCTTCCAGCCTGTGATGGGATTGCCCTGACCCAGCTGTAGGACCTTCATGAATTTGGCACAGCCCCACCTCTCCAGCCTCTGCACATCCCTTTGGATGCCCCAGCCCTTCCCTCGAGCGTGTGACTGCACCACTGTGCTGGTTTAAAAGTTAACCAGCAGGGGAAATGAACTCAACTCAAAAGAGAGATTAAAAGTCAGAATAACAATTTATTAAAATAATACAATAAGTACAATTATACAGACAGACAATTGGTTTTAACTCACAAAACCCAAATGTATAACCCAGCACCCTGGGGCATGAACAAAAGTGGTGTTCCTTGCCCCCCCCCTCCCCCGAGTCCAAAGTAAAGGGAGAGGGGAAAAACCTGCTGGTGGGAGAGCTGCTGCAGTCTGGTCAAAAAGTGGTGATTGCAGTCCAGTCGAGTGTGGTGGTCTCAGTCTGGTTGAGAGCGGTGAGCTGCAGTCTTCCTCTGGATCCCACGAGTGGTAAAAAGGTTCCAAAACTCCAAGTTTATATATTCTCCAGTTCAGGCAGGAATGCTCAGTCCTTCCCTCAGAGCAGGGACTTCCATAAAAGGGCATGAGGACAGGAACGTCTTCCTATCTTGCAGGCCACTTAACGCCTAGTTTATAGCCTGAGGAGTCAGGCTGCTCTGGGCAGAGGGTGTAAATGCTCTATTGATAACAGTTTCTGGGAAATGGCATGGAAGGCTATAGAATACACAGGTTTGGGTTACACCCATCCAGTGATGAATTGGTCCCAGCTGTTCTAACTAGGACAACCACCCAGCTCAGTGTCATTGGCAAACTGGCCAAAGGTGCATCAATCCCGCTGTTCCTGTCACAGAAACAGATGTCAAACAGCTCCAGTCCCAATCCCACCCCCTGGGGACACCACTCCTCACTGGGCTCCACTTGGACATCGAGCCATTGACCACAACTCTGCATGTGACCTTCCGGACAATTCCCTACCCACCAAGTGGTCCATCTTTCAAATCCATGTCCAGGTTAGAGACAAGGATGTCATGTGGGATATCCTCAGTAGATTAAAACTTTGATCCTCCCTGTCAGTGTCCTTTCTTTCCTTTAACCACAGGAACCTTTACAGAACCGAGCCAGTGTCTCTTGTAGCAATTATCAGCATTAGGCTTTATATGCAAATACACACCTACATACAGGCACAGTTTTCTGGGTAATTTCAGTTTAGATTTCAGACATTACAAATCTCTGAATTAAGTGGGGTTGCTTTGTGTTGAATTTGAGTTCTACTGTCTTATGTTTTTTCGGAAGTTCTGAAATACGGGACCCAGGACCTCCGGCCTTCTGTATTTCCTGAGCACAAGCTTTGATTTGAAGCCCATTTGCATATACAAATAATCAGGTTTGGGCTTCTCAAATTGGATTATCTTGTATTTAACATGCGTGTGCTGGGGCTCCCTGTTTGGGAAACAACAATAGCACTGCAGGACCCTCTTCATGTCCCTGAAAAGCCATCAAACCCCTCTTTATTTGTGGAGTGTTCAAGCATTGCAGAGCCAAATGCTTTATTAGGTCTGGGAATGCTTGACTTTAATCACAGTCTTCACAAAGTTTTTGTTTTGCTTATTAAGTTTATAGTTCTTTGGTGCTTTTTCTTGGTATCAACCCAAATCAAGAGAAAATTTAGCCAGGTTCAGGTTGGTTTAACACTTCCATTATAGAAATAAAACGTACAATGTGTTATTTATGGGCAAGGCTGGCAATTCTGACCCTATCATACCATTGTCCTGCCTGACCCCAGGCCTCCTGGTAAATAAATGCAGCTCTCCTAGTGCTTTGCAGGGTGGTGTTGGTGAGGAGCCAGGGATTTTTGTTTATTGCAAATGAGCAGAAAAGTGAGGGGTTGGTGAGGCTCCCCCTGGCATGCTCATACAATAACTGGAGTTTACAAATGGAAGTGACACAAGCTGTTTTCCCCCGTTGGGTCGCAGGAGACAGGGATATCAATATGTTTTCCTTTGCAGAGGGATAAATATGCTGTTTAAGTCAATCCATGGCTTCACTTATTGAAGGATCGATGTTGCTGCAGGAGCTCAGCAGGTGATGGTATGGAGCCTGTGGGATGGGGGTGGAATGGCCAGAGGGGCATGGAGCATCACCCTGTAGGTGTGGGGGCTGGGATGGGTGGGGCTGGATGGTTGGAAGGGCAAAATTCCTTCCAACAGACATCAGAAGCTCCTGTTAAAGCATGACTGGCGTCAGGCCTTGATGATGATTCTTCCTGATTCTCAGGAAAAATTTCTTTCTGGAAAGGGATCAGAAGGAGCTGCCAGGGAGGTGGTGGAGTCCCCATCCCTGGAGGTGTCCAAGGAAGGACTGAACATGGCCCTCAGTGCTCTGGGCTGGGTGACAAGGTGGGGATCGGGCACAGATTGGACTCAGTGGGCTGGGAGGGCTTTTCCAAACCTCAGTGATTCTGGGATTCAGCAGACAAGTCTCACCTCCCTGCCCAGGGTGTACCCTGACCTGCCAAAAACAGATTTGGGAAACCACCGTTGCTAGGAAAAATATTGCATATTTTCCCCCTCAAGGATGTTGACAGCTGCATTTTGCTCCTATTTTCAAGGCATTTGACTCTTGGAATTCCACCTATAAATGTGGAATGGTTAATGATGATTCTAAAAAACTCTTTCAAGAACTTTTTCAAAAATCTTACGGCAGAATCTGGTTGGTTTCTGAGAAGAACTTCTCAGATGAAAGTCCTCAGCCCTCAAGGAGCCACGTCCTGGGCCAGCTTTGGCAAGTCCAGTGTTGTGTTAGAGCTGATAAATCGATGAGTGATTGTTGAGCTGCCTGCAAATAGGAGAGGGGCTTTGCTGATCCCACACACTCCACCTGTGCCTCCTCTCCTGGATTAACAATCACAGGGATAGTCCTTTCTTCATGGAGTTATTTACCAGGAGAGAAGGAGAGAGAACTTCATCAAAGGAGGGGAAATCACCCAAACTTCTCTTTCAACTGACTGATGAAACTTTAATAAGGGGATTGATAAAAGTTTAATAAGGAAGCCCTGCTCCAGGACTGTTACTCATTGGTGCTGGCAGAAGCTCTGACTGGCCAAGCAACCAAGGCTCACATTATTTTCCTCTTTTCCTGGACTCTTTTGGGAAATTGCATCCTCTTCTCCAAAATAAAATAATCAAATAAGAAGTAAACAACCTTTCTACTCATGTACCCTGTAGGAAGCCAGTAGAAAAGCCATTTTTCCAAACAACATTAGTTTTCATAAGAGCTACAGGAGATGTTTTGTGGATTTTTCCCAGCTGCAGACAGCTGGAATTAGGAATGAGCCTTGATTCTGGGAGGCCAGGTGTTTGACCTCACTAAATGGCTGTTCTAGTCCCCAGGTGAATACAAAATAAGCTTGGATTTAACACTTGGATTAGTTGGACACTGATTTTTATTTATTTTAATTTAAATATTTGTCATGACTCTGGCAGAAAAATTTGTTTTCGTTTATCCATCACTGAATGATCAAAACTGAAATATTTGTGAGCTTTTTTGGCCTGTGTGCCTGTTAATTAGTGCATCTGCAGGTGTTTCTTGGCATTGAGGGATACATTAGAAATAACAAACTTTTTTTTTGGTGATGATTATTGAAAATATTTAAACTTCTGTTTTACTAGTGCATGGCTTAGTTATTGACAAATAATTGTCTATAAAGAGTTAGAACAAAGCTAAGAGAGCTGGGAGTGTTCACATGGAGAAGAGAAGGTTCCAGAGAGACCTTAGCAGCCCTTCCAGTGTCTAAAGGGGCTCCAGGAGAACTGGAGAGGGACTTTGGACAAGGGCCTGGAGCAACAGGACAAAGGGGAATGGCTTCCCACTGCCAGAGGGCAGGGTTAGATGGGATATTGGGAAGGATTTCTTGGCTGTGAGAGTGGTGAGGGGCTGGAATGGAGATTTCCCAGAGAAATCCCCATCCCTGGAAGTGTTCCAGGCCAGGTTGGACAGGGCTTGGAGCAACCTGGGATAGTGGAAGGTGTGGGATAGTGGAACAGGGGGAGACTGGATGAGCTTTAAGGTCTATTCCAACCCAAATCAGTCTGTGATTCCATGATTCTGTGATTCCACCCTGCAGCAGTGATGTTGTAGGTGCTGCATCTTCCCCCTGACAGTCCCCCTTCCCAAACACCGATTCCCTGTTTTCCTCTCAGTGATACAAAGGATAAAGGAACCCCCCAGACTGACATTGTGCCTGGAGTGAGGAGTCTTATCAAATAGTGATTCTTTTGGAGCACTACAGTTGCCTCCTGTTGCCTGAAGGATTTCCACAGGAGCTGGGAGTGTTTGCTGAATGACATAATAAGCTAATGATTGCTTAATTCTGGAATCCTTAGCTCGGTGTGGAGGGAGGAACAGCTGCTGTGTGTCAAATTAGGTTTTCTCCTCAAGATTTTTATTCCTCATATTCTCATTTATTTAACATATTTAGCCAAGATTGAGCTCTGAAGGTCTTTCCTGCAAGTTTGTCAGACAGAGGTGAATAGGATAGAGTCTAAATGCTGCTTGAGCTTTAATTTGGAAGACTCCTTAGTTCTCACGTTAGACCATTGGAAGTTTCCTGCATGTGATGTTTCTGAGATGAAGGATATGAATGTACAGCTTGTAAAACCCAGGTATTTGTGTGCAGAACAAAGCAGAGCAGCCAGAAAGGCAAGAGGAACATTGGGTTGTTAATATAGCAAGTAATAAAAAAATCAAGTTTGAAATCAGACAACTTATATTTAGGAAAGTTCAGAATAATTGTGTTCAATGTGCTCAAATATTTGGCTTTTTTATTGAGGTTTTTTCATTTATATTTAATAACTCTGCACAGTTTGGATATGAGTCACTGCTGCCTTGTCCCTCTGGGTTATAATGATGTTTTCACATCTGTGGGGTTTTAATATCTAAAAATGCTCCAGCCATGAGCTGGGACTTCAGAATAATGATTAGGAAAGGGGCTTTGGGAGTCCTTAGGAAATATATCACAGAGCCACAGAATAGTTGGGGTTGGAAGGGACCTCTGGGGATCACCCAGTCCATCTCCCTGCCCAGGCAGGGTCACCTGGAGCAGGTGACACAGGAATGAGTCCAAGTGGGGTTGGAATGTCTCCAGAGAGGGAGACTCCACACCCTCCCTGGGCAGCTGTTCCAGGCTTTGCCACCTCCATGGAAAGAAGTTCTGCTTCATGCTGAGGTGGAACTTGATGTGTCTTATTTTCTGGCCATTGCTCCTCATGCTGTCCCTGAACAGAGTGTGGGACCATCCTGACACCCCTTGGAGATATTTGTGTGCACTGATGAGATCCCCTCAGCCTTCTCTTCTCTGGGCTAACCAGGCCCAGCTCCTCAAGTCTCCGCTCATCAGAGAGATGCTCCAAACCCCAGATTATCTCTGTGGCCTCTGCTGGACCCTCTCCAGTAGCTCCTTGTCTTTCCTGCTTCATCTCTTTTCCCAGGCAACCAGTGACAGGACAAGAGGCAATGGCCTTAAGCTTTGCCAGGGGAGGTTCAGGTTGGACATCAGGGAAAATTTCTTCACAGAAAGGGTGATCAGGCATTGAAAGGGGCTGCCCAGGGAGGTGGTGGAGTCCCCATACCTGAGGTGTCCAAGGGACAACTGGACATGGCCCTCAGTGCTCTGGGCTGGGTGATAAGGTGGGGATTGGGCACAGGGTGGACTGAATGATCTGGGAGGCCTTTTCCATCCTCAGTGATTCTGGGATTCTTGAGTTCTGGAGACCAGAATTGAACCCAATACTGCAGATATGCCCTCACTATATAATATATACATATATTATATATAGTATATATTCAAACTCCAGTGTCTCTGACATGCAGCAGCAGGGACCAGGTGGGAAGTGTTGCAGACTTTTGTTCCATCTTGTGTTGAAACCGAGTCCTGAAAACATCCTTTTACCTAAACCCACTGTTTCCCATCCAGATAACCCTGCTGTGCCTCCCTGTCCCACAGGTGGTTGCCAGAACAGCCTGAAGGCCATGGGTGCCAACCAGACCCTGGCTCTGGCCACGGCGGCCGTGGTGTCGGTGGAGCCCGAGGCCCCCCAGCCCTGCCACCTCCTCACCTTCTCCCCTCTCAAAATCCCGCTGGTGGCTTCACCCTTCCCAGGTAAGGTCCCTCCTGGGACACTGATGAGCAGCTTTTCATGTTTTCATGCAACAGAGAGGCTTCTGTGTGTGTTGGGTAAATCCTGACGGGTGCAGGGGGTGTCGCTGCAATCGGGGGTTGAAGGTGGGTTTTCTGGGGCAGTTTGGAGGCATCCTCTGAAATGTCAGAGGTGAGTTCAGAACTCTGTGGGCATTTGCAGTGGTCCTGTTGCTGTGGCATTTACAGGCAGTTCATGAACTGAACTGGTTCCTCCATCTCAGTGAGTTCTGTAAGGAAACGTGGTCTGAGCTACACCAAGCCTTTGGAGCTGATCCTCAGCTTAAGTGTCGGTGTTTGAAAGGTATCTGCTCAATGTAGAATAATATTTGATTAAGACTTAAGTAGATTCCTTGGCTGTTTATCATTTTAAAGCACACTGGGAGACCCAGCCTGGGTCTGTGTTTTTTTTCCAATAGGTTAAGATGTGGTTTCTGACTGGAAAAAAACACTGTTTTCTTGGTGTGGTGTTGAGTAAAAACTTTCTGTATGTGGCAGCTGGGGAGGTACTGGGGCATCTCTGCCTCACCGGGGCTGGTTTAAAGTCTTAAGGGTAATTTTCGAGGCTGTGCTTTGAATGCTCAAGGCTATATTTAGAAATGTTATGTGTTGATGAAGTTAAAAATGTAAATTAGGGTATGTTTTCCATATAGTGAGATTGGATTTCACAGAAGGTGTGTGGTTATGGCTTTGGTGCTCAGACGAAATCTTTTCATGAGAAATGTATCTCAGTGATTATTGTTCCTGAATTAATTCTACTGTAGGGCAGAGATTTGGTGGTGCTTCCCATGGAATATTGCATTTGACCCATAGAAAACACTTTGCCTGTTTATGAGTATCTTGGAGGAGAAACCAAAGGAGAAAAAAATAATTCTTTATATAAAAAGCGAAATTACTTGTTAGATGTGTTCTTCCCTGAGTTGGGGTTCATTTTAATGCAATTTATTTTACATTTTGTAAAAGAAAATCAGAGCTATAAGAGAGTACAGGATATTTAGGGAATTTAAACCCATGTGTTGCCTTTTACTGTGAAGGATCCCAGCTGGGGATGGGGCTGAGCAGACGTGGGTGGGATGTGCTGGGTGGTGCAGGTTTTCTGTGCTTTGGCTCTGCCACGGGAGAAGCTCCTATCATCGTTTTTATTGTTGGGTATTTGTTTGTCACTGTCCTGAGCTTGGAAAATTGTAATCATGAAATAAATATACAGAAAAAAAGCAGCATAAAATATTGGGTTTAGTAGCAACATAAAATTTTATTTAAAATATTTAAATTCGAGGAACCTATTTCTACATGAGTGATCTGTGACTGGACTTTCACTGGACTAAAACTCAGGTACTGGGGCTGGAGCAGTCCAGCAGCACTGAGAGGGGGAAGGGGCTTGGCACAATATTTCTGTGCTGTCTGCTGTCACATCAATGGCTTACATGGACAAGGTTCCAGCAATGCTGTTTCAGCTCCATTTCGTTATTTTATTCCTTTTTTTTCCCCCTTTTTCTTCTTTTTGCATCTACTCGTGGTTCTGCTCATGCATCTACCAGGCAAAATGTTCCCTTAAATATTTAATGCCAGCCTCACTGTTAGCTTAGTTTTCGTGCCAGGTTTAATATAAAGACTAAATAGGAGCTTGTGGAGATGCAGCTCCTCGCTGTGCTGCACCTTCGTGCTTGTGAGCTCTGCTGGTGGAGAGAAAACTGAATTTCCCAGCACTGTCAAGCCAAGGCTTTGAAGATGATCTTAAAGAAACCCAAATGCAATTAACTTTGGGAACAAAAGCAGTTACGTGGAGTATTCAGGTATGGGATGTCTAGTGACCTCCAATACCACTTTTACAACTACTCTATAAAGAATTGGGTATTTATTTTCTTTATGTGCAGTTTTTTAATTATTGGAGTGAAGAAGGTAAGAGCTGAGTCTGTGGTTATGGACTCCCTAAATTAGCAGTGAGTACAAATATTAAAAAAGGCACCATCTGCCACCTAAACCATTTGCCACCTGTTCCTGGCTTCTCGAATTATTTAAAGTTTCAATGCACTGTTTTACCCTGCCATGGAACAGCTGGGAAGTGACTCAGTATTTTTCCTCTCGGCACCTAAACGGCCAAACAACGTCGTGTGTTAAACCAGCTCTTAATGCCAGCGCTTGTCTGGGGCCTTTCATGTGTCTGTCACCCCTTCATTAACTGGTTTAAACCACATTTTCATAAGTTATTCAGTGATTTTAACGGTGTTTTTGGGAGGAAGCAGCTCCTCTCCCGCAGCAAACAGGGGTAATGGCTGTTTGAGTGGTCACAGCACTTAGCGAGGGGTCAGTGCTGGGGAAAGGTAACATGACAGTGGAGTTACTCCCATTACACCCTTAAGCTCAGCCTAATATCTTCATGGAATCATAGAATCACATAGAATCCAATCTATTCTGGGTTGGAAGGGACCTTAAAGCCCAGCCACTCCCACCCCCTGCCATGGGCAGGGACACCTTCCACTATCCCAGGTTGCTCCAAGCCCTGTCCAACCTGGCCTGGATGTTGCCAGATGTTTCCTGGCCAACCTCTTCTCTCCCCAGTTTCTTACTGCTGTCAAAGGTGAGGCTCATTAACAGTGGGACTTGATGATCTTCAAGATCTTTTCCAACCTATACAGTTCCATGATTCTGTGATTGTGAATGAGTGGGGTGGGAATTTACTGTACAATATTTGGAGCACAGGTCTGTTGAGGAGCAACTGAGGGAGTTGGGGGGGTTTAGCCTGGAGAAAAGGAGGCTCGGGGTGACCTTCTCACTCTCTGCAACTCCCTGACAGGAGGAGAGAGCCCAGGGGGGTTGGGCTCTGCTCCCAGGGAACAAGGGACAGGACAAGGGGAAATGGCCTCAAGCTGTGCCAGGGGAGATTTAGATTGGAAATTAGGGAGAATTCCTTCCCTAAAAGGGCTGTCCAGCCCTGGCACAGCTGCCCAGGGCAGTGGTAGAGCCCCCATCCTTGGGAGTGTTCAAAAACCTTATGGATGTGGCACTTGAGAACATGATTTAGTTGTGACCATGGTGGTGGTGCTGGATTGACATTTGGACTTGATGATCTTCAAGGGCTTTCCCAACCTTAACAATTCAGTGATTCTGTGAGATAAAATTTGTCTGTAAAAAATATTTGTTTTCTGGGAAATGGAATTGAAGAAATTAAGGAGCAAGGCTGGACATCTCCAGTACCTCCCACTTACCCGGAGGTTTGTTCTGCTCATCTCCTCCCAGTGTCCAGCTGGTGGGGTTGGGTGTTCCAGCAGACTACAGGGCTGGGGAAAGCTGGGCTGAGGACATTTGTCCAACCTCTGTGGAAGCTACAAACCCTTTTCTTTCTTGTCTTTACAAGATTAATTAAAAACTGTGATCCAGTGAGTAAATACTTGGAGAACTCACACAGTTCTGGGCACTGGGATTGTTCCTGCCTGTTCTGCCAGGAACAGAGCCCCTCTCTGCTGGGCTCATTCCCATCATGAAGATGATTCATTCAGTGGTAATTTAAGATTAGTCTGGCCATCCTGCATACCAGAATTCCTAGGTATTAGGTGAGCAAAAAATAACTATTTTAGAAAAATCACAAATATTCTAACCAGAAATGTGATGTTCTTCTCCTCAGGAAGCTTTTCCTTCTCTTTCCTAGGTGTCCCACATGCCTGGCAGTAAAATAGGCTTGACTTGGAATGCTGAGTAGTTCTAACAAGCTTGTTGTAAATGATCTGCCCAGCTTTAATGCTGTGTAACGAAGCAAGATAATGAATGTTTATAGTTATTAAAGTGATAACTTCCTACTGGAGCTAATATTCAGCATAAAATTACTTTTCTGTTCCTATCTGTGTTGGCACATGCAAGGGAAGACATGATTGTACAGTGGGATAAATTAACGTCCAGAATCACATTGAAATGAGCATCAATTCTCTTCTCCTGTTGGACACAAAATCTCTGCTGGAAACTGGAAGCGCTCAGCTGCCCAATTAAGACTCTCTAAGAAATGGGGTGATGGTTCTAATTGTGTGAAAATTCAGCTGTTTTTTGAGTTACCAAAGCAAACTTCATGAAAAGGACAGGCAGAGTGATGGCAGGCAGAACGGTCTGATATTGCAAATTTGAAAAAATTGAAAAAATGAAGTCAATCATGGAGCATTTACTGGTGAAAATATGTGGTTGGACCCAACTGGATTTGTGGATCATGATGCACTTGGTCTGTACAAACAGACTGGGATTCCCAAGGCATTCAGAGAATGCCTGGGGACCAGTGACAGGACCCAGGGAACAGCTGGGCCTGTGTCAGGGCAGGTTTAGGTTGGATCTCAGGAAAAGGTTCTTCCCCCAGAGAGTGACTGGGCACTGAACAGGCTCCCCAGGGCAGTGGTCATGACCCCAAGGCTGCCAGAGTCCAAGGAGCATTTGGACAGTGCTTTCAAGGACAGGGTGGGATTGTTGGAGTGTTCTGGGCAGGGCCAGGAGTTGGACTGATGGTCCTTGTGGGTCCCTTCCAACTCAGGATATTCCATGGTCTTATGTACATATAGAAAAAAAGCCTCTCTAATCCTCCTGCTCCTGGAATATCATTGGTATGATGAACCAGAAGTAGAAGGAAAGATCTTCTGGCAGAATAAAAATACCCTTGTGGAGGGAATGTGCTGCTGTGGTGCTTAAGGACAGGACTTGGCACTCAGTGCTCTGGGCTGGGTGACAAGGTGGGGGTCAGTCACAGGTTGGACTTGATCTCAGAGGTCTTTTCCAGCCTCAGTGATTCTGGGATTCATCACGTTCGTGGCCTAACAAACAGTTGTTTCCTCAGGTGTGAACCAGAGGGGCCTCGTTCAGTGTCTCCCATGTAATAACAAGATATTGACAAAAGAGAAAATATAAATATTTCCTGTAGTTACAAAAGACAAACAACCAAATCCTTTCATTCATGCCAAGCTCTTTGCTCGGTAAATGTCATCAAAGTCAGA